AAATATTTCACAATCTCGTACAAGTATTTTTTTTAATACAATTATTTTATAAAGATTTATATTTTTGATAATTATAAAACGTTATTTTCTATAAAATCCGCATTTTAAATTTGCGATCTGATCGTTACTACTGTATTAATAATATTTAATACAACGATAAATAGTAAAATTTACAAACATGAAAAAGAGTTTTACCGTATTTTCTAATCACAGACAAAAATATGCTTTAATTTTATTGAAATCTTAAATTATTATATTAAAATTATGCTAAAATCATTTTTATTAAATAAAAGTATAAAACCTTTTATATTGATAATATACAATCATTAAACTACAGCAAAATCAATGAATGCGTTTTATAACACGAGCATGTGGTAGGTATGATAATGAACTTCGTGTAAAAGAATTTTCAGTGATTCGAATCTCAATCAATACATGTACATTAATTCCAACCTTATATCTTATAATGTTTCTTTCACTTTACTTCTTCTATTATTTCAATATTTATTTATGATATATCAATAATCTATTTGCAAACCATTATTTTATGGGTTATGTGATTGGATTGTAGGGTTGACACAATATGGCACTCTCATTAATTTTTTCACGTTTAAGTAAATTTTCAAGAAATCAAATTTTAGATATTTAATCTACGGCGTTTTGATATGAAAATGTAGGTTATATTTAAAAAAAACCAACCCTACTAAAAAATATATAATTTTTTTAAATAATTATGTGTTAATATTAATATTATCTTGACTTAGTGATGATGATGTTTGAGTAACGTGATATTATATTTATACTGTCGAAAAAAATACTCATTGTGTTGCTGTGAGAATTTCGAAGAACTCCACAACTTAGATAAATAAATATGGATAATTTTAGTTTTTTGATGCAATGGGGACAAAAGATATTCTTAAAAATTCTTTCATGTGCTTCTGAGGTATCAAATCCATCATGATTCTGTCTTTTAGGTATATTTTTCTTATTGATCCTGTTTTACTTTCTGTTTTTATTTTATTTTCTCAATATATATATATATATATATATATATATATATATTAGTAAGTTTCACCGGTAAAAAATCGCTTACAACGTTAAGTATTTTGGATTTTTAACGACTAATTCGTTACCGACGTCATATCAGAAAATATTAAATTGACATTGAATTTTTTAAATTCGACGTCAAATTAACGTTGAATTTGTTGAATTTTGTAAATATACGACGTCGAATTTTATTAATATACGACGTTAATCAATTGAAAAACAGAAAAACAACAAAATTTAGTTTTTGGTATTTTATAAAGCAAGAACTATGAACATAGTATCAACAACAAACAAGTTCAACCAAACAACAACAAACAAGTTCAACAATAAGTTCTTCAAAACGAAAACTAACCTTCAAAAGGTGAGTTTGTCGGAATGCGCCATCTAAAAACAAAAGCACGAAAATAATCGGTCAAAACAAACGAAAATAAAAAATAAAATGCATTTGTATCAAATGAAAGAAATATTACATGTGATGGTCGTCAAACTTCGTTTGAGAAAAGTTTGAAAAGAGGAGAGAGTCTCGCGCACTAAGATAAAGTGAATGAATTTTCAATCTCCCACTCAAATTTTTATTGAATTCACAAATCTTTTGACGTCTAACGTTGGGACATTCGATGTTTTATATCTTTTTACGTCGAATTATAATTCTAAACGATATTTAATAATTACATTTATTTACAAAAATGTCACCGATCACTTTTAACGTTGACTATTGAGTGTTTAGACATTAAACGTGTTACGTTTTATATATTATAATAGGTTTATATTTATTATTATGCACATGACTTTTTGACTGATTCATAAATTATTAAATTTTATCAAAAAGTAAAATAAGAATATAAAATCCGAATAGGAAAATCAATACAATCATTATTTTGAAAAACTATATAAAAAACCTACATTAAAAAAATGTAGGAATATGCTATGGACACCAATCCTAAATAAATTGAAACAATAAATTCAAATACAAAAAATATATAGAAAGGCATATCCTATCTTCGTATATATTCCAAAAATATATAGAAAGACATCTTCTATCTTCATAAATATTCAAAAAATATAAGACTGAAATATTATATTACTCAGTAATATCTTCAAATGGAAACTTCTTGAAGAAATTTTAAGCGAATTCCATAACTATTTTGGAAAGATTCTTGGAAAATAGAGAACTTAATTATAAATTATTAAAACTTGAGATTCAAAATTATAATAAAAAACTTTTAGATAACATAACACATTCATCTAATTGCTTTTTCTAAAAAAATAATAATTATATTATTCATGTGTAGCAATATATTATAAACAACAAAGAGGTAATTACAAAAATATACCAAATGCATAAATATAACAGAATTTATGATATCATAAAATATATCAAGAAATATTTCAAAAGATAAAATAATAAATAGATCGATACATCACATTAGAGTTCATAATCATACTACATTATCCACATTTATCATTCACATGACAATATTAATATTGTTTCTCTTTGAATCATATATTATCATATGAAGACACACAACTTTACTTATGAAGCAATTTTAAATAAATTTATATCAATTCAAATATATAATAAATGTAAACAACTAAATTATCACTTCATGCAATTACTTCAAACATGTAAGAATATAATTCTTAAATAGATTTGTCCAATCAACCTCACCAATCATCATCATACAATTCATCAACTCTATATCACACAAAATCGTCTAGTTATTTATACAAACATCATATAAAAGAACTAAACATACCATTACGATCAAAATTCAATCTCTTGCACCAGCGATTCACTCTCCGTCCTCGTCAGTGCCCGGGTGTCACATGCCCGGAACGTTACAAGCATACTTGAGAAACATGCATGCATGGTCATTATAGAGTTGTACTCAAAAAACTAAAATACCTCTAAAAATAGAAAAGTGAATGTATCCTACAAATATGAAGAGTTATTTGTAGTTAGTTGTAAAAAAAATGAATGATTGTAAAACGAATGAATGATTGGGTAAAAAATATAAAAATAAGATAAAGAATGTTTTAAAAGATTTTTTTTTAAAAGATGAATTCTTTTTATAAATTGAAATTCGATTATTAAAAAATTATTTATAATTTAATATTTTTTATATTAAAATAATAGAAAATCATATTCTAAAATCTATATATGGTATTATCTATCTCTTTCCTAAAACAATGTATGTAATTTATTGTTATGGAAACTTGTATTTAATCAAAATTTAGATAATCAGTCATTATTTAAGATAATTAATTAATTTATTATTTTACATGCGATAATTAAATATGATATTAAGTAATAAGTAATAAATAATATTTAAATAATGTTTCACGTCACAAAATATTGAATTATCTTTTAACATAGCATAATGAGTTTTGAAAAGAATTAAGGTTCTAAACATGATATGTACAAACTAAAAAAAAAAAAACTTATACTCAATATACGATTCACATATTTTCATATATAAAAACAAAAACATACACACACTTTCTTCTAAAGTAAATAATATAAATAAACTGCATTCTAAAAACAATATAAATTTTCAAGAATCACGATCAACACTAACTTTATTGATGACTAATTTTGCATACATATGATTTAACTAATAAGCATATGACTAAATGAACCTTTTATAGGAAAATATCAAATATATGCAATTTGATATTTAAAAGAGGTGGTAGTATATTGCTTAAAAAGCTTACTTACAAGGTTGGTGTAATATTAATGGTGGCAAAATCTGTTCACATATTAGTTATCATGTCTACTTTATTAATGGATATTAATTCTCTTTATAATTATTTTTCTATACATAAATTATTACAATTTTATTCTTTATATGTTGTAACTGTTTTTGTACAATGATCTGTACTCATAATCAAACTACTCACAATCAAATTATAAAAACTAATAAAAGTATTTTTTGTTATTATTTTTTATAAACACATTATATCTTTAATATAACTTTTGGCAATAAACTTATTAACAATTTAATTTTTTATTATAGTATTAGTGTTATTATTCTTTAAAACTTTATATAAGAAAACTAATTATAATCAACATTAAACATTTTTTTAGAGTTAAATATGTTTTTAGTCCCTAAACTGTTGGTGGTTGGTTTTCGTCCCTCTTTCAAAATAAGGTACAATTTGTTGCTCATTCTTTTCGAAACTTTAGTTATAGTCCTCGAAAATTAACCTCGAAAACTATCAAATTTTTAACGGTGTTAGTTTTCGAAGACTAAAACCAAAGTTTCGAGAAAAATAAGTACCAAATTATACCTTATTTTGAAAGAAAGACGAAGACGACCAATAATTTAAGACTAAAAATATATTTAATTTTTTTTAAATTAAGTGATTAAACATGGACAGCAGATCTGTCCTATCACGAAAATATATTATTAAAAGACTCTCTCTCTCTTCTTCTTAATTGAATAATTTAAGTTGAAATAATTGTAATAGAAGTTACCTAAAAATAATCTTTAATTATTATTACAAATTCAGTGGATAAAACATGGATAACTCAGGATAGTTAGCCATATCATGAAATCCTATCATTGATAATCAAGGGTTTTCAAAATATTTTAACAAATTTGAAATCAATACACTAAACAAAAAAGGGATAAAAAGATAAATAAATGTTAAGTATAATTAATAATTTAGTTATTAAATTTATAACTTTAAATGTAATCCCTTTGAAATGGAAAAATATCAAATTAATTTTCTTTGAAAAATATTAAAATAGAAAGTAAAATGAATGATGTAGATAAATAATAATTTAGTTCTTGTTGGCAAAAATGGAAAGAAGGAAGAACATGCCCCACCAATTGGTCCACAGATTTTGACACAATGCAAAAAAAACAAGAAGAATTAATTTTCAAATTTACTTTTCATGTGTCATGCCATCAAAACCACTACAAATGTGGCCTATAAATCGATCTCACTCATCTCATCACTGCCATTATCTTCTTCACTCAAACACTCTTTTCTGCTGTGCTGTGAGGGCTCCGATATGCTCTCGCTCGCTCCATTTCACCGTTCGTGGTTCCTCTTTTCGCTCTTCATCGCTGCGGCAGCGGTTATACGCTGCGTCGCGGCTGAAGATGCCACCGTGGAACCCGAAACGGTGCATTTCGACACCGGAGGTTTGAGCAGAGAGGTTTTTCCCAAGGGCTTCATATTCGGAACGGCGACGTCTGCGTATCAGGTGGAGGGTATGGCCCACAAAGACGGTCGCGGCCCAAGCATTTGGGACGTTTTTATCCAAAAGCCCGGTTCGACAATATTCTCTATTTTAATTAATTAATTATTTTTTTAAAATTTTAATTATATATTCTTTACCTCTCAATTATATATACTGAATCCAAATGTCAAATCTCTTCACTTGCTTTTTCGATTTTTTCTTATTTTAATAATCTACTGCACAATGCGACACACAGTACAAAATACTGTTTTTCTTTTGCGGTCAGAAAAATGACCGTTAATTTCACTGTGACGGTGTGTTATGCGTTGCATTTTCTGGTGAAAAGCAAGATGCGAATGTTACGAACAAGAACAACGTGAGAAAATTGGTTTGGTTGAGATGCTAGCTTAAAATATGATAATGGTAATTAATATTCAAAATAAAATTCTTAATAATAAAAACAGAGATTTAAAAATAATAATAATAATAAACAACACATCTTCATAAACAAATTTAAACTAATAAATATTTTTTTCTTACATGAAATACAAAACAGGTATTGTCGCAAATAATGGGACGGGAGAAGTTTCTGTTGATCAGTACCATCGCTACAAAGTAAGCGGCTTTTTATTTTTTTAACTATGAAGGATTACTATTTGTTATTTGTTGATTTTAGTGTGCTGATTTCTTTACTATAACTGCATGGACTTATATAGTATATTACAACTTAAAACCTAGCAGTAAAATGTATCTATGAATGTTTAGCTTTTTTGTTGGAAAAATGGCCAATTAGGTATAAAATATGTGAGATAATGTCAATTTAATATTTGAAAGAATGGAAATTCTGATTTAATTTTGTAAAAAATATGAATTGTTGATAAGTTTAATAATGAACTGATCTTCAAAATTACAGTTTTAGAATAAAATGATCCCACAGAATTTAATATCAGGACTTTTTTATAAACTAAGTGGTTAATTTACCCTTCTTTCCTTTTTCAATATTCCAAAAAATAAAATTTGTTTTCCAGTTGGACCCTTGCCTCAAACTCTGCCGGCCCAAGTTGACATGCTTGGGCTTTCTTTAAAGTTTAACATTTAGTTTTGTTTTTCTCTGCTATAAGGAACAATGTGAGCTAAAAAGTATGTTTAATTTCACAGGATGATATAAATCTCATGTCCAGACTGAATTTTGATGCTTATCGGTTCTCAATCTCGTGGTCCAGAATTTTTCCAAGTAATTTAGCCATATTTGTTTTACTTATTTGGCCATAGCTGAATTAAATTGTTAAACTCGCTCAATCATTAACTGAGTTTCAATTTCACCACTACTGCAGATGGAACCGGCAAAGTAAATTGGAAAGGTGTGGCATACTACAATAGGTTGATCAATTACTTACTAGAAAAAGGTAACTTTTATAGCATACTTAGTATTTGAAATGTAGTGTTCAACTTATTGTTATTGATCATTTGTTTCCTCATTGATTGTCTGCAACAATCCAGGTATTACCCCATATGCAAACCTCTACCACTATGATCTTCCTTTGGCACTTGAGGAGAGGTACAACGGATTATTGGGTCACCAAGTTGTGTAAGTACCAATATATACACACAAGAATAAAATTGAATAATTGATCTTTTAAATGCATGCTTTTGCAAATTTCTCGTAGCGTAATACTTGTAGTAAGTCTGATTAAAAAGTATATGGTGACATGTTAATAAATACAAAGAAGTATAACTAACAAGAATGCTCAAATTACACAGCAAAGATTTCGCAGACTATGCAGAATTTTGTTTCAAGACTTTTGGAGACAGAGTTAAGAATTGGATGACGTTTAATGAACCTCGTGTGGTGGCTGCTCTTGGCTATGATAATGGTTTCTTTGCCCCTGGAAGGTGCTCAAAAGAATATGGGAATTGTACAGCTGGTAACTCAGGCACTGAGCCTTATATTGTTGCGCACAACTTGATATTGTCACATGCAGCTGCTGCTCAAAGATACCGAGAGAAGTATCAAGTAATCTTAATATATCTAATCCTTTGGTTTAAGTAAAGTTCTCCATAATGATATATTAAAGAAAAAAGAGTAGGAAATTAAAATGAATTGCTTCTCTTCCATGAATTAAAATAAACTTATGCATTTAAACAGAAGGGCATAAGTTGATTTTAACTTGAGGAAAAATTCAATTCGTTCTTTTCTTACCGTGTTTGTAGTTAAGTTTATCCGAATAAAATCTTAATGAGGACGCTAAAATGTTCTTATGATGTGCTTGTTTTAGGAAAAGCAAAAGGGAAGAATTGGAATCCTCTTGGATTTTGTTTGGTATGAGCCTCTTACAAGATCAAAGGCCGACAATTATGCTGCTCAAAGAGCCAGAGACTTTCATTTGGGATGGTAAAATTATTTAGCATCTGTTTATTGTCGATCCTACGTTACATGTTCAAGTATTTTCTTTTGAATGCAACTCTATCTCCTGTGGAAACTTTCACACACTCGATACCAATTATAGTGCTTAAATTCACCAGGTTCCTTCACCCCCTTGTTTATGGAGAGTATCCAAGGACAGTTCAAGAAATTGTTGAGGAAAGACTCCCCAAATTCACTAGTGAAGAAGTTAAAAAGGTGAAGGGTTCGATTGATTTTGTCGGAATCAACCAATATACTACCTACTACATGTACGATCCTCATCAAGCAAAACCTAAAGTCCCAGGCTATCAAATGGATTGGAATGCAGGGTTTGCTTGTAAGTCAATGCTTCCTTTAGCCATAGATTACAATATTTTCTGTGCATTTGCATATGACCAGTTTTTTTGTTTTGTTGAACATTGAAGATGCAAAGAATGGAGTGCCAATTGGTCCAAGAGTAAGTTAGAACTAAGTGAATTATATTCATTACTTTCAAGAGAAAAAAGTGCCCCGACTATGCATTGACTAATTTTTATAAGTTCAATTTAACAGGCTAATTCTTATTGGCTTTACAACGTACCATGGGGCATTTACAAATCATTGATGTACGTAAAGCAACGTTATGGAAACCCAACAGTGATCTTATCTGAAAATGGTAAAATTATATAATATTTCTGTTTTCACTTTTATTTATGAAATGACTTTTGTTTTGAACTGTTTACAAAAAAGTATAAAGGAACCACTGACTGGAGTTTGTCCATTTTGTATTTAAATTGAAAACAAAAATAGTCTTTCTTTCTATTTTTGGCCTGGTGTGACATAGTATTCTGCTTTTTCATTGTCATGTATGTAGGCATGGATGATCCGGGTAATGTGACTCTTCCCAAGGGTTTGCATGACACCACAAGAATAAACTATTACAAAGGCTATTTGACTAACCTAAAGAAGGCTGTTGATGATGGAGCAAATGTGGTCGGCTATTTTGCATGGTCTTTGCTAGATAACTTTGAATGGAGGTTAGGTTACACATCAAGGTTTGGAATTGTTTATGTTGATTTCAAAACCCTCAAGAGATACCCCAAGATGTCAGCATACTGGTTCAAGCAGCTCAATGCCAGAAAGAAGCATTAATAGCTGAGCTCTGTACCTACTTTCTAAGCTTCTAGTTGCTTCATGAATCATGTTTTAATGGTTTTGGCCGAGTTAAAAAGTGCCTCTGTAACTGTAATCATGCGACTTGATTAATACAAGTCTTAGAATAAAATTATCTTTTATAACTTGCTTTTTGTCTTGGCATCATATTGTTCAATGTTTTGTTTGTTTATATAAATTCTTTAAAATATGCCTTCACGTGCCGATTAGAAAATTTAAATAACATGATGAAAACAATAGATTTTTATATTTTGCAACTCTATTCATTGGGTGCCTATCCATACTTGGCAATATTCAGCCGATAAACCGCATCACCTTAGTGGCCGACACAATTGATGAATGGTCAGTTTCATTTCAGACTTTACGGTCAAGTTTACATAAATGATATTTTAAAGTTGAACGTAAAGTACTTTGAAGCATAAATGGAAGCGCTTTTAAATATTTTACTAACCTCGGGTCGAAAATTCTATTGCTGTAAATACTACTTCACAAAGCATATATGATACAAACCCCAATGACAATGCCATTAATCTCAATTCAAGCGTCCGTTTTGATGTTTTCTGATTGCAATAGTTAATCTAAGAATAATTTCTATTAAGTTATAATTAATTGATAGTTCTCACTATTAAGCTCTGAGAAATAAAGTCAAACTTGCCTCAGCAAAAAACATGGACATGGACACATTTAGAATGATTACACTCTAGAAAAGAAATGCAAAAGCGTTCTGTTGTTATTACTCCCCGTTTTCTTGCTGTTGCTTCTTCTATTGGATTTCTTTTTACTTTCACTTCTCCCTTTCAAATCAGCAATTATCTTAGTCTCAGAAGTTACACTTTCTGGGGATTCCACTGTCAAACATACAACATCAGATTTTTCAGCTTCAGTCACTACTGAAACCGGTTCACAGGTGGCTTCAGCTTTATCTGATAAAGTGTTCTNGGACACATTTAGAATGATTACACTCTAGAAAAGAAATGCAAAAGCGTTCTGTTGTTATTACTCCCCGTTTTCTTGCTGTTGCTTCTTCTATTGGATTTCTTTTTACTTTCACTTCTCCCTTTCAAATCAGCAATTATCTTAGTCTCAGAAGTTACACTTTCTAGGGATTCCACTGTCAAACATACAACATCAGATTTTTCAGCTTCAGTCACTACTGAAACCGGTTCACAGGTGGCTTCAGCTTTATCTGATAAAGTGTTCTGAATTTTTCTTTTCTTTAAGAGATTCCCGTCAGACCCCTCTTCTTGAAAGTTATCTGGAGACATGCACAAGTCAGTATATTCCAAGCTGCTTGCAAAAGAAATGTTTTCAACATTGTCCTTTGTCTGATATCTTTCATCATTTCTTCTTATCCTAAATGGATTGTTATCAGGAACCTTCAAAGGAGTGTTATCAGATACAGTTGTCTTTTCTTCTGTTCTAATTGTTCCCAAAGGCATGATTAGTTTTCTAAGGTCCAAGAATTCATTGGAATACTTCTCTTCATCTAAGAGCCTTGTCACTGTAGAGAGAGAAAGTGTTATGACATGCCATAGTTAAACATATACGACATGCTAGCAAAAACATGCATAAACTTAAGCAATGTAGTTACAGAAGTTGTGAACATATCCAAAGTTTTCGCTTGCCTGTACTATTTTCTCTGGTGTACTGGGAAGCAATGATTGAAAAGCTATTCTTTGGCCTAGATGGTGTAGGAACTTCAGCTTTCTGAACTTGATCAAGGCTTTGGAGATCATTGGGGTGCAGAGGAAATCTAGAAGATTCAGACTTATCAAAGGCTTTCTTAGTTGATGGATTCAAGTTTCCTTCAGCAATTGCTTTGACTATAGATGGGGGAATTTCTCTAATTGCATTTGTCAAAGAAACAATGATATACGTTGAACAAGCATAAATGTTAAAATTGACCATATATTCTCTTGGAAATGCTAAAATAAAATAAAAAACTATTTAGAAGAAACAATAAAGGATACGGCCCCAAGAAATCGAGATTCCCATCATGTGACTCAATAAAATTTTGTGGAAGAGGCTTCATGTGTTTCAGTTCTTTGGCATTGGTATCATATCTACATCGATATTCCAGAAGCAAATGCAGTCATTGATAAAATTAACAAATGATCATTCTAGAATTAGGAAAGTGTTTTAGTAGTCGTACATTCGAGCATACTGAAAAACTGCAACAGACTCTTGAAAGGTTTTGGCATAATCTTCAGGCATTTGGTCGCCTTTCTCGAGCTTAAGAACAGACAATATCTGTTAAAGAATTGATATATTAGTCATAACGAAACTGAATATGAACCTTAAGTATGATATCTCCGAGGGTGTATCAGCTACCACGTTATCTATACATGTAACAGTAGAAGCAAAAAGACAAACGTATTGGTTTCTGATATATATGGATGTGGTTGTGACTCGTGTGGAATATAAATTCTATATATTTCAAATTTCCCTTTCTTACTAGATATGTGAACTCATTAACTACAAACTGGAAATCCAGACAGACAAGTGATGCCAATGAGAATTGTACTATTGCAAAACTAAGTGCAAAATTCTAAGCTTAAAAATGACCACCGAGCTCTCTACCATAAACTACATTCGGCAGCAAAGCATAAAACAATAGAACCAATTAATTGTAAAGCAAAAATAGTTTGAAAGTTCAGCTTTTTTCCATGTGTCGCCTACTTCTTAGTTGTATCTGTGTAAATCAGGTTGAAAACCTATGGAAATAGGC